CCCCACACTCCACTCTCTACCCTACACCCAGTTAGCAGCGCACAACCGAAACAGCCTCCCAGAGGCCAGCGCCAACCACCCAGATGAAGAACAGACCCGACGATGAAGTTTTCAGTGCCGATGAACAACTCTGACGAAGAAACCGGCAGCTATGGCTGCCGCCACCCGCAAACACTCAGTGAGGAGCCTTGGTGTAGCCTGGCCAGACGCAGATACCCCCAGGGGTAGATGCGCTGAGGTTGCCCCAGCTCCGGCAACCTTCAGAGGGCCGACTATGGCTGCAGTCCGCAGCAAGGGTCTCAGGATGCCGCCTGTAGACAATTGCCACCGCCAACTTGCTTGGCTTCTCCAATCGCTGCTTCACAAAAATGAACAGCCAAAAGTCCCTAGCAGTCCTACGCCAACCTACTTGCAGATTCTACACTACTCTAGCCTAGGGCCTACCGGTACCGTTTCAGTTAGGGCCTACTCGGCCTCTACCAAACCGGTCCTACTGCTGCACTTAGGGCTTAGGGCCACTTAGGGTCGGTAACTACTCAGTCCCTACTGCTGTTAGTCCCAGCTATTTTTAGAACAGCGGGCGGCCCTCATTGCAAACCAAAAAAACACAGCAAAGCACACAGCACACACAAACAGCAGTACACACACAGCGGTACACTGTACAACCTCGCAGTCAGTCTCGACAGTCGAAATCAGCAAGTCATTGCAGGCTTACCCCCCGGGGAGCGAGGACCTCCGAGCTAGGGATGCAGACAAGGTGAACGGCGAGGAAGGTTGCCCTTCTGAGCCGCTTCATATCGTAAAACAACTGACTTTGTTGTCTTGAGAAGTTCCCTTCTGTGGAACCATCTGTTCTCAGAAGGAGGCTGGAACGCGAACCTCACAAGATACTGCCGATCGGGGCCTGTGCCCCACTCATCCTCAATCCACTCCACGTCATATCCCTTGCCAGGGATCGGTGGACCAAATTGAGGGGACCGGTCTGGGAATGCATCAGCTGGAGTGAATGGAAGACCGGGTAGGTTCGTAGATGCAGTGGGACAATTTCACATAGGATGGACCGAACGGATCAGCGCCCACTGTATCTAAGACCTGCCATGGACCCAAGTAATGAGGCAAAAGCTTGGGGGAGATATCCTCCTCCCTCGACAACTCAGAACTGGCTACCCAGACATAATCACTAGTGCGAATGTGGGAAGGCCGCCTGTGGCGATTAGCTTGTTCAATCATTGCGTCAGGTGAACTCTGCGGTGCCTGGTCTCAGGTCTGACTTAGCCTTATCGATGATATCATCGAGAGGCTGTCTTGGTTCACGTCCCCAGTGCAACCGGTATGGACTGAACCCAGTCGAGGAGTGGACAAACATGTTATAAACAAGCTATGCCCGAGCCAAGTGGAGATCCCAGTCCTGTTGATTTGGAGAGATGACAGGACGCAGCAATTGGAATAAGACTTGGTTCATCACTTCAGCCTGACCATTGGCTTCAGGATGATGACCAAAAGTCACGTCCAATCGTGAGTGCAGGTAGTCCTTACAGTAGGACTGCCACTCATCGCTGCAAAATCGGGGGTCTCTATCACTGACTTTAGAAGTGGGCGGTCCATGGTGTGTGACCCACCTCTTTGAAAAGGCTGCTCTCACAGTCGGGAGTCTAGCTACCTCTGGCAAGGGGATGAACTCTGCGTATTTGGAGAACCTGTTCACGCAGACCATCACCTGACGCATGCCACGCGGGGTGGTCTTGCCTAAATCTGTGAAGTCAATGGACACAGATTCAGCAGGGCCATCAGGTATGGGTAAGGGTTTGAGTAGTCCCAGAGGAGGCCTACACCTTGTTCCTCTGGCAAAGCTCACATGTTTCCACAAAGCGCAGCATATCACTCCGCATCTCCTTCTAGAAGAAGCGCTGCGACAGGGCTGCATACGACTTTAAGAACCCAAAGTGTCCACGAGCATCATGACACTCTGACATCAGCAGTGTCCTGAGCCGCTGATCCTGGGGAATGCACAAGCGTTCCTCACCTCTGCTGTAGGTGTACAGCAAGTCTGAACTCAGGACATAGCCGAGTTCAGAGTTGGGATCCGCTTGCAGATTCCTGACTATGGGCCCAAAAGTCGGGTCCTGAGGCAGAAGACGAACAATGGTCTGACGGGTCTCCTCTCCAAAGGAGTGAGTGGAGGAGATCAATGCAAAGGAGTCAGGCCTACGAGAGAGAGCATCTGCTACTTTGTTGTAGCAGCCCTTCTTGTGTTTCAGTTCAAAGTCAAACATGTCTATGAGCTGAATGTATCGTGCCAGCTTATCATTCAACTCTCCCTGGGACTTCATCCACTGTAAGGTGGAGTGATCTGAGAAGATCTTGACGCGTCTTCCCAGGAGAAAGTGCTTCCAATGTTACCGGGCACAGACAAGAACATACAACTCTTTCTCGTAGGTAGAGTCCTGAAGCTTCTGAGTCTTGATCTTCTTACTCATGAACTCTACTGGTCGTAGACCATTCCCACCATCCTGCTGAAGAACTGCCCCAACGCCATACTGCCTACCGTCAGTGGTCAGGATAAATGGCAGAGTGGGGTCAGGTAGCTTCAGCACAGGTCCAGGAGTCAAGGCCTTCTTGAGTCGTGTGAAGGCCAACTGACAGGGAAGGGACCAAAGAAATGGAGTGTCTTTCTTTGTTAGGTTGGTCAGGGGTGCAGCCACTGCAGAAAAGTTCCTGACAAACTTTCTGTAGTAGGAGGCTAAACCCATGATGGACCTAACATCCCTCACTGTCTGTGGCTGTGGCCACTCCTGAATAGCAGCTATCTTGGCTGCTTCAGGAGTCGCGCCATCTCCAGAGATTACATGACCCAGATAGATGACAGAGGGAACTCCAAAAGAGGACTTCTCTCTGTTAATCTTATACTGGCTGTCATGTAATGACTGAAGGACAAGAGCTAGGTGCTCCGCATGTTCCCTGGCAGTTCTACTGAATACCAGGATGTCATCCAGGTAGACAACCATGAACTTGTCCAGGTAAGGCCTGAAGATGCGGTGCATCTCTGCCTGGAAGGTACCTGGGGCGTTGAAAAGTCCAAATGGCATGACCAGGAACTCGGTAAGTACCATACCTGGTCTTGAAGGTTGGCTTATAGACATCCTCCTTTGCCATCTCAATCTGGTGATAGCCAGATTTGAGGTCGACTTTGTTGAACATTGCGCAGCCCTGCACCATATCCAAAAGATCATCGATCCTCTCTGTACTCTTCCTAGTGATCTTGTTGAGACCCCTATAGTCGATGCACATTCTGAATTCTCCATTCCCTTTCGGGAAGAAGAGGACTGGTGCCCCAAATTTAGAAGTGCTCGGCCGTATCCAGCCTTTGCTGGTCAGGGTCTCAAGCTGCTTTCTGAGTTCCTCAAGCTCAGCAGGGGACATCCTGTAAATGCGGCCCTTGGGAGGGACCGCTCCAGGTAGCAGCTCAATTTGATGCTTGGTTGGCCGGTTGGGCAACCCAAAGGGCTCCTGCATCAGATCAGCATATTGGTCCACCACCTGCTATATCTCAGGAGGACAGGAAATAGTAGGAGCGTCTGTCTGCTTGACCAGAGCCAAGAACAGGCGCTCATGGTCGTACTGGCGCGAGAGAGCATAGAACTCCCCCGCTCTCAAACAGTAGCAACTGGTTTTAGGGTGGTGTTCAGCAACAATCATGCATGGCTGATACACCCCCTGTCTGTTAGGTAGTTCAACCTTTGGGATCTGCCAGTCGATCTTTGGGTTGACTGCCTTCAACCACTGCATAGAGAACACCAGGTCAAAGGGTAGATCAGGGAATACATAGAAGTTCAGACTATGTCTCACTTCTCCAGCACTGTCGAAGGTAACAGGAATACCCTTGACCTTCTCTTTGATGGTGAGTATTGTGGAGTCACCTATTCTGACCAGCAGCGGTTGCTGCAGCTGCTGAACTTTCATACCCAGTTGCAGTTTCTTGACAACACTGGGAGATATGAAGTTCCTGGTGGCTCCACAATCCAACAACCCTTTGATCCTGATGTGATTGATCAGGGGCCGAAGTAGGATGAAATCAGACTTGCTTTTCTTTTGTTCCTTCAGATGAAGGAAGAAAGCAGCAAGTGAGTGAAGCTCATCCTGCCCCGTGTCCTGATCCGGGTCAGGATCCTCATAACAAAAGGATGCTGCCCGCGCAGTCCCCAAACACTCACATATAGTCTCAATTGAAACAGCTGCAGATTCACCTACCTGAGTAGATGAAAGTGCAGAACTGGGGGGAACTGCAGTCCCCAGAGTCTGTTTCAGTTTTTTGACTGACCCGGGCCTGGCATGTAAGGGCAGTCCTTCAAAAAGTGATGTCCCTCACACCTCAGGCAGACCCCTCTTTCCTTTCTTCTACTCCACACTCCCTCTTGGATCTTGAGGTCATGCCAAGGGAGAGTGGAGGGATTAAGTGGGTCAGCTGGCATATGGACGTCTTTTGGCAGATTAGGGCGCTGGGAGGAGGAAGGCCGACGTCCCCTGTCCTTCCCCTTTGCACTGGCTGAGGCTGTGGTGGGGGAGAACTTCTTCTGCTGCTACAGAACTCCCAGAACAGCCTGAGTCAGGGTTGCGGCAACATCTGTCTCAGCAGCTGATCCAGTCCCAGCTGATGGTGTATCAGCCTGGGAGTCTGAATCAGAAGCTGATGCAGACCCTGCATGTGCAAAGGCTGCCTTTCCCTTTCTACCACCACGAGGGAAGGCACCTTTCCTCCTGTCCGAGGAGGGGGCTTGGACATGAAGTTTTGCCTCCATGTCCAAGGCTGCACGGCCAAAGGATCTCTAGTCCTTGTGCCCAGCGCTGTACAAAGCCACAAAAAACTTCTCAGGGGCTGCCCTGCAAAAGTTTGTTAGTAGGTCATCTGCAGACATAACCAAACCAGGTGTGGAAGTCAACTGCTCGAACTCTGCAAACAAGGATTGCAGGGAACCGCTGTAGCGCAGCTGCCCCAAGCGAGCAATCTTGTCAGCAGCTTTGCGGGCCCGCTCCTTGTCTGCAAAGCGGTCTTCCAACACCTGCAGAAGACTGTCCACCCCCAATCCCAAAGCCCAATCCTCCATAGTTTTCTGCAGACCGCTGGAGGTAGAGGTAGCCCACTTTTGTGCAGGCCCCTCCAGCAGTCCCAGAAGTGTAGCCACCTTTGTCTGTTCTGGGCATATGAAGCCCCTCAAGTAAGCCTTGGTCCCTGCAGCCCAGTCCCCAACATCAGTCTTGGGGTCATCCCCTCTGAATTTGTTGGGGGCAGGGATCTTGGGACCTCTCTGATCCCCTGCAACAACAGCAGCAAAGGTGAGTTTGGCTGAGGCTTTTTGGGAAGGAGATGGTGAAGGGGAAGAATGCCGCCAACCAGAGGGAGTTGAAGGAGGAGAGGAAGAAGGTTTGAGTTTCAACGAGGAGGCAGGAGACTGGGGACCAATCAGTTTGGCTGCTGACAGCTCAGCAGTCGGATCCTGAATTGCTTTCAGTATCTTGGACTGCTGAGCTGCCAGGTCATCCACCCTGCGCTCCAGACGGCCGATGCGATCGTCCCAGTTAGTGAAATAAGAACTGGTGGCCTTGTGCTCCAGAAGATCCCACTCCGCCAAGTTCTTATTCACCTGGGAGCAGCGGTCATCTGTCAGGACCTTGTTTAACTGCTCCAACAGGTACTCCCTTCTGGAAGTATCTGTTGCAGCCTCTAGCTCAACTGCTTCCTGCCGCTCAAGTCCTGCTAGCAGGGCCTGCTCCTGCTGCAGTCTTTCTTGCAACTCCTTCGTCTGCTGAGTAGCAGTCAGAGGAGTAGTAGGGGTAAAAGATTGTGGTCCTTCCACCTTCATCACCACTTGCACCTGTGGCTGCTGCTGAGCACCTTGATCCGCCATTTTCCACTTTCAGAACAACAATAAATAAAGGACAAGCGGAGGAGTATGCAGCGATTTTCAATTTCCTGCAGACACTTAGAAATCGCTGCTGTCTCAGACACAGAGGTAGGTGGGTGAATAGGCAACAAACGGTTTGGGTTAGAATGGTTTCCCTGGGGTCAGGTGTCAGACAGACAGATAGTCCAGTAAAATCATTCACACGATTTCCTTTTACTGACCCTGCACCACACTAGAGTTAGTAGACAGTCCACTACTCTTCCAGAGAGATACTAGATTTCCAGAGCCCACTGGAAAAGAAGAGTAGTCAGTGAGAATGAAAGAACACGGCAAGTACAGGCAAGAATGATCAAACAAGCAGAGCGATTCAGTCAGAAACCCTGAATCCTAGCCCAGACTCTAATTTCGACCCTGATGACTCTGGTAGCCATACCCTAGGGTATGGCGAAGTACAGTATTCACTGTTTCCAGTGAAATACTAGAAATCCAATCAAGTGCTTTTGCAGTACTGACTGTTTTGGATTGTGATTGACTGACAACTGACAGAATTGAATTCTGACGGGCAGAATCAAAGTTATGACTTACCCTAAGTAGCACAGGCTATAATTAGACTCAGTGCAAAACTGTAATTCACCATATCACTACTTTTCCAGTGCAGAATTCACAGTCTGAGCATCCCAAATCAAGCGCAATACAGTAAGGCAGTCACATAACAATTTTGGATGCAAAAGAGTCAACAGAGGGTTAGAAATGAGCGGAGAAAGGTAGGGGAGAGACGACTACGGCTGTCATGCAGTCTGCGATTTTCACATCCAGTCACTGACAGACAGATAGACCATAATTACTGACTAATCTAATCCTATCTGAATCGCTATACAGGTAGGTGCATGGAACGGACTCACTTTCAAAGTTTCTTGCAGAGCTGGGTGAAGATCTGGCTATGGCAGACTGATATCCTCACTTCGCCAATTTCTCCCAGAGCTTCCTCCTCTGTCTTCCACGCACAGAAACACTTCAAACTTGTTGATCC